TCCCCGCTTACATAACAGCTGACCTGCAGGCCCAGTTACCTACACTCCTGTGGGTTAGGCCGCCAAATCCGGGACTAATTGTATACTGCTACTATGTAGGTAGTTTGAATGTCAGGGAAAATTCCTTCAAAGAAACTCCTTTTGCCCGTTGAGAGCTGACCCAACGAGTTAAGTTGTACCGCCCCACTCTAGCCCAAACCCTTCTAATAAGCGGGATTTGTCTGTCAACCTTATTAGATAATGTCATACAAGACTACAACACGCTCCCTAGTATGGGGGTGTGGTTGCCGAAATGTCCTTATTGCGGCCCAAATCACAACCACAACTCCCAGGAAGCTAGCAAAACTCGTAATGCAACTTTGGATACTAGAAAGCCTGCATGACCCCAAGTACCTCATTGGGAACTATGGCCTTATCGTAAGTTCGTGCAGGATTTTCAGTATCAGAAACAGCTTTATGTTCCTATTCCTTTTTACATTTGATTCCTGTCGATTGAGCCCTTAGCCCTAAACCCTACATATCTCTATAAAATCCCTATACACCCCTTGAAAGGGGCGCAGAGGCCTTAGTGACCTAAACTCAAAACCCTACACCCTAAACCGTGTGGAGTAGCCTGCCTCAGACGCATCTGGGTTCGACGCCTCCACCACAGCTTCCAGGGCTTGGCCTAGTCTGAGTAGGAGCACAAAGGGATTATGTAGGGTTTAGGGTTAATAGGGTTTAGGGTTTATGGGGATTTGGGTGTAGGGTTTAGAGTTTAGGGTTTGTAGGGTTTTGGGTTTCTAGGGTTTAGGGTTTACAGGGGTTTGGGTGTAGGAGTCAGGGTCCAAGGCGTAAGGTTTTGACGGCTTAGGATGTAGGACTTATGGGATTTGGGGACCAGGATATGGAACCTTGGATTTAGGATGATTTAGGTTGTAGGATTAAGGGTTTAGGGTGCAGCATTCAGGATTTTGGGTTGAGGGTTTAGGGGTTGAGGTTTGAAGGTACGTGTGGTTGAGGGTTCAAGGTTTAGAATATTGGATTTTTTCAAGGGCAGAATGTAAGGGTAAGATTTGAGAATTTGTCAGGGTGAACGTTCGAGGGTTTAGGGCCCCTAAAAAACAGGGATAAGGTTTGATAGATACGCATGAGTACCTGGCTTGGGATTGAAGGGGAACTCCCCTTCGTCTAGCCCGCTACTCTACACCTGAAGCCTATATAGGGACCCATCATCTGAACTTAGTGTCATGTACATCAATAGGATCTCAGACTTTAGAAGACCCCTCTGTTGAGAAAGCCCCTGTTCCCTAAACCCTAGACCCTATATAGATCTTCGGGACTTGAAAAAGGTGTGTGACTGGAAGGTTTCAAGCTTTGACTTAAAGATTTAGGGTTTGGATTTAGGGTTTAAGGTTTCAGGTGTTGGGCTGAAAAGAGCTCCCAAGATTGTTCCACGTTGTGAGGGGCTGTATAGTAGGCTGCAAAGAGATTCCAGGGCTGGGCGTGCTTTCTCAAAAGAGCGCACGTTTTTTTTTTGATCCTGCCTGCCTTGCTAGCATGATCTCTTGGGGTATACAGGCTAGGGGGTCCGCCCCCAACTGTTCGCAACAGTTCAACTGAATGATATGAAAAGACTTAGTTACTCAGCGCGCTGGCAGCGCAAGCTTTGGATGGTAGAAGAAACACCTCATACCTTGACGCTTCCAGAAAGGATGTTCTCAACAACTATCAGGCCTTACAACCGCGTGCATTCTTAGCCCCGGAGCACTTGAGCGTTTTTGGGAGAGCGGGCTCTTAGGAACCCTAGGAAGCATCTAACTATAGGCATTTAACTTCTTTACAATAAGAACCCCTACCTCAATATGTAAATGCCTGGGTTTAAATGCATCCTAGTCCCCCCAAAGGCGCTAAGTACAATCTGAGCCCCTCAACACGCATGACCGATCAACCCGAGGCCCCTGCAGAAACGCGCTGGATCAATCTGGCGCCAGCTGCTTGTCGTGGCCTGGAACCATGACTCACTTGTGACTCTAAGGGTCCAAGGACCCAACTAATTGGGTTTTAGAGCCCAAATACACTACTATTAATGGTCTTTGGGCCCTAAAACCCTATTATTTGGGTTCTTGGACCCTTAGGGTGAGAGACTTTGTCAGTGGCTCTGGCTGTAGTCTTGGTTTGGTCGTAAGAGCAGAAGCCTAGGTGGGATTGCAGTTTGTCAGCGGACAACTAGGTGGCCATTAAAAAGGTTACATAGGCCAGCCAAGAAGAAACTCAGGGTGACCATAAGAATAACACCGCTTTGGACGTCGCCAGTCCAGGTCACCCTGCATGCCCCAGCATACTGGAGTCGTTATGACTTGTGATGACCTGCCAGCGTGAAGCGGCAAATCTGAAAAGAAAAGAACTTCGCCCTATACTTTTAACACTTATTCGACAGAATTGTGTGCAGGGCTGGCAACCTGAGTTTCACAGGGTGAACCGCACAGGGACTTCAATTTGGGATTTTTGCTAGCATCCCCCTTACAAGCTTCATTGGATTATTGGATTCACATTTTGGAGAACTGCCCACCCCCGCCCCCATATACCGTTCCACCCTTTTTGAATAGCACCATTATTCGAAACTGCTGTTCCGACAGATCCTCCTCCGAGCCTACTCCCACTTCCACTGCTACAGTGCCTGCTACAGCTATTCTTTCCACCACTACCACTACTACTACTAC